ACAGTGTTATATATTCACTATCAATCTTGTAAAGCTCACCTCTTTTTCATTTTGAAGGGTAAAATGGAAACGTGCATTTACGCAAACTCGTCCCTGATCCCCATCGTTTATCAAGCTCTATAATTTCATCTAAATAGAAATGAACACAAGCACCATCCTCCAAGTGCTCACTGTCAATCACTTCACACATGCACCGTGCAATTTAGGCCTATTCTGTCGTCTCTATCAAATCCATAATCACCGGTTCAAGAGCATCATCCACGTTGCCAAATATTAACACAAGCAGGCGGTAAAATCTCCTCTCGACAACAGCCACAAGAGGCCCTCTCCCCAGAAGACTCTCACAGACCGGAGAGGGGCGTCCAGCTGCGCCCGTCTCATTAGGGGTTTCTCTGAATGCACCAAACACTCTGATGGTGCCGTCATTTCAGGGATAGGACTGTCGTATCGGAAGCCTATTCTTTACAATTTCTGTCTGGTTCTGTTTGACCTACAAAGAATATACATTTTAACGGCTAATATTTCTTCAGCTAAAGTATAATTAAAGTAGCAATATGTAAGATTCCCATGTCAAGTCATCATTAAAGGGCCCTAATCTGTCAATATAATAAACATTCTCTTTTCTAATACTTCTTTACCTGATAACAGTGATTCAGAGATTTTTGAATTTCAAAATTACTTTTACAGTCCCTAAACCTTGTTATTGTTTTCAGTTTGAAGTCCCGCCCTCCACCGTTTCACCAATGAGAAAGTCTATGACCCGGGTTGCCAGAATGCACAGCATGTGGCCACGGAACTAAAAAGGTCTGGTTATGATTCTTAAATTAAAAACCAATCTTTGTGCAAAAAGGGTTTGGTTGGTTAAAGATTTGTTGTTGACAGATCTCTTTATTCAGTCTATTCAGATATTATGGTCCCAGCTGGATTTGTCTGCATATCTGGCAACCTGAGTCAAGGAGAGTGGGAGAGGCTGCAGTACCACTTTTGGCCAGATTTTATACTGCTCCTTTAAGGCCATTAAGGTTTATTAGCGGAATGGAATAATGTACTTATAGGTTAGAACTAAATACACATGTTCTGAAGTGTGTGGGAATTGTGTAGGTTCATATGTAGATGTCTGAAAATCAAATTTTGGAGGTTGTTATTATTACTTTGAACGAAATCTAACTTTTAAAACATCCCGGACATAAAAAATGGCACACAGAAACATCATAGTTCTATCTACACAGTACTTTACAGCCGCCCCACTGTGGCACCAGTGTCCCCAAAGTTTAAGGGTCTTGCCCAAAGACACAATGACAGCAGACACGGGGGGGAGTCAGGGGAGAAAGTCTTGTGGTGGGCTCGAACCCACAACCTTCAGGCTCAAAGGCCAATGCTCTACCAACTGAACCACTCTCACCTCTCGATTTAAGTTTTAAACTATAAATAATTGTTCCCCGACCTATTTGAGCCGTGACACCTTTTTCCTTAAAAACTATGACACGACGCATCACCAGCTGAAACTGACACTGATGTGACTCTGCAGCCTTTAACAAAACAAAGTAATTCTCATCAAAGTGTATTATATAGAAAATCTGAGAAGTGCATAACATGATTTCTTTCTTTTTTTTTTTTTATATTTTGACCAAGTAGGTGATATTAAATGTAATGTCTTTAAATGTGATAATTAGGGCCGGGACTTTAACGCGTTAATTAAGATTAATTAATTATACAAAAGTTATCGAGTTAAAACATTTGACACATTTTAATTGTCATCTCCCTTTTTGCACCGCGGAACGTTTCTCACTGGATGAGTTTCAGACGGACCGATTGTACTTCCAGGCTTGTTCTCCGCAAATCTAACCCGTCTCTGAACCTCCCAGAGACAGAAGTGAGTCATAGAAACACTGTTCCCACCGCTGTCTCTGAGCAAAGTGTCTCAAGTTTATGTTCGGTGCGGTACTACACTCGCTGCTGCAGCTGCACTTTTTTCGCTATGATTTCTGCACTGGTTTGTGGCAGTGAACATGAACAAAGATCAAATCAAGTCAAATATGTATTTACGATTAATTAATTGCAAAGCCTCTAATTAATTAGATTATTTTTTTATTTAGTCCCAGCCTAAGTAATAATCTCTCTTTTTCTCTCATGCACAGAGCAGTGTTACACTTCTGAACTCTGAAGGCTTTGGAAAAACTGTCTTTCTATAACTTTGTAAATTGTATGTTGTTTGTCTCTTTTCTTGTTGTGTTTGTTTTATATGCACCCGTTGTGCTTCTGAATTAGAGATTAAAGAAAGATGAACAGATGAAAAATAGCCGCTTGGCCAATTCTGGCATATTTACAGAAATGTTCATTAACTCATTGACTGCCCGCCGTTTTTGATGATTTCACTGACTTTCAAGACCCACAGAATATTACGTGCTGTGACTATGTGAAATATGAAACCAGATTCTGAAAGACTGGACTGTCTACTTTCATCAGCAAAAATATGTTGGTTTCTAGCTAGTTTTGTTCTCCTGTAATCCCCAGTCGAGTAGAGGGAAGTTTGACAGAAGTCTTATTGTGCTTTCAGACCGCCAACGCTGAAACGCTGAAGCCCCGCTCACCAGACGCGCATTCTCTAGTTTTCAGACGCAGAGGACTTCACACCAGAACGTCCTGACGCGAGCCGGAAGTACCGGAAGTAGCCGGCCGGCTCTAATGCTAACAGAGCTATGCTAGCGGCTTCTTGTGTACAGATCTTCTCCAATATGCAGCTTTGCAGCGTGTCTTTGAACAGAGACTTTCCACGGGCTTTATATAACAGTAGTATGTGTTCACGGAGGTGCGCCATACATACACATTTTCATATTATTAAACAGAATTTCCACATCGGCGAACACACTCAAAGCAGTTGCATAAGGTCACGGGAGCATGACAACACATATATTCACAAGCACAGAGTCCCCCATTGTCAACCCTGGTTTGAGTTCTGGTGAAGTCTGGTGTGGGTCCTGTTTTGGCTGTTTACGAGTATTTTCAGTCTGCTCGCTCAGTCCGCTAATGTCCCCGTGACCACTTTGCTGCTCTTGGTTGTCGCACGAACGTCCCAAGGAAAGGATGAGCAGAATCCATCTCCTGTGGGCGTTGATTTTTCGCTCCTGCTCCTCCCTTTTCACTTTCCCGCCAAGTCCGTGCATCATTATTGAACAGTCCGTTCGTGCGTGCCGAGAGGTCCGTGCGTTGTGACGGTCGAACGCGCGCCACCACTTTGCATTGAAACCCGACGCAACGCATGATCCGGTCTGAAAGCACCAATGAGACAAAAACGTCGATGGCAGTCAAGGAGTTAATATGCACTGTCCCTGTAATAAATAAATAAATAAATTGGATCATTTCCCAAGGCCCACCGCACAACATCTAAAGGCACATTATTGTACCACGCCCCACTGGTTGAAAAACAATGCTATAGAAAACCCTACTTGAAAGAATAGTTTGGCGGTGTTAAACTACATCCACAGTTCCATGGAGCAGTTTCTAACCCACTTCAGCCTTTGCACAGTCAGCCCGACACATGGGACGTCCAGCTGTGCCCTCCTCATTAAACCTCCCCACACACAAACACCAGCTCAATATGCCACCGGGCCTGCTGCGTCAGCCTGATGAACCGCTCTAAATTATTGATGTATTTTCTATCTAATAAGTGTCCAATGGTGTTCATGGGCTCAGTGTCTACGTGTGGATGCAGTCACCTTCACCTATGAGACTGGCTGGGCTGGAGAGCTCATTATAACGACCTTATTGCCTTTCAGGGAAGTCCACGACGGCTACGAACCTAAATAAAGTGTTGTTGGTAATAAGAGGGTAGAGAGATATCAAAAACAAGGCCACAAAATCAGCTGCTTGTTTTTAGTTTTATGAATGTTGGCTTTGCTGTAGTGGTTTTAAAGAAACTATGGGAGGAGGAGTGATGACGAGGGGTGTACAAAGACCTCGTTTGACTTCTAATTAATTACTAATCAAACACTTTTCTGAGTGCTTTAGATGGGAGGCCAAGACCAAGATGAATACCCTTAGATTCAATTTAATCATTCATGCTAGTCAAAGACAAAAAGGACTTTTGTAGGATGCAATACATGCACATAAACAAGTACAAAACAGAGGTTGTTATTCATAGGAGCCAGTTCTAGTAAAAAAATACTTATTCATGTTTTGTTTTGACTTCATTTTAGACAGAACTTTCATGCTATTGATAAATGTCTGCACAGCATAAGCCCAACAAGGCTTCAGGTGTTTAGGCAGAAGGCAAGTGCTGCAGTGGTTGTGGGTTTTTTCCCCCAATAGTCCAAACATAGCAAACTTTTAAGTATAACTGTCCAACTGTAATTTTCTTATTTTTGTCAAGAAAAGCTCCTTACTTATCATATCCCTGGAGTGCAAACTGTACAATCTTCTAAAGGAAGTAGAAGAACATCAAATGCAGTGACTGTTAAATCTGTTTAATGAAGCTCCTTTAATAATAAAGTCAAACACTAAACAGAAACCGGTAAATTCTATTTGACGATGATCAGACCGGCTGAAAAGTTGGTTCATCGTGCTGTGCTTATTCTGGATATAATCAGTGATATACAAGAAGATGCTTTAAATATGACTGTAAATGAACTAATTGATCAATCCCAACTAATCAATCATTTTAGTTAGTAATCATGAGTTATGCACTAATTCAAAAATCGATAAATAATTGACTCAGACTTAGACATGCTGAGAGGAGCTTTTATGACTGATGATTCTATAATGACTGCAGAATGAATAAAACAAATAGTCATGAAAAGGCAACATTTGAAGTCTCAGGTCCAGACTATTCGGTTCAGATACATATAACGAGATGAGATGATACGTAATTATCTCACAATGGAGAAATTCAGTATCAACTTCAGCATAATATAGAAACAAAAGAATATTCAGAAGGACTAATGACATTATTCATGCTTGTGTGCACGTGTCTTTTGTGTGTGTGTGTGTGTGTGTGAATGTACCTCCACGTAGAGAATTGGGAAGATGCCGATCTTGTCTCCCAGCATGCCCTCTGCCCAGTTCTCATCCACTCTTCTAATTACCATCAGCACCTCGTCCTGAAACAGCAGAGGAGACAGATGCAGCGTGACGTGTTTCTAATCACAGAGATGACAACTGCACAGAGAGGGTTTTCTACAAAGTCTCTCTGTTGTCACTTTCCAAACAAGTCCATTAAGGCTCGTGTTTAAGAAGCCGGTGGTATAAATTATGTTGTATCTGAAGTGTATGATACATAATAACACATGCAAAAGATTATATCTATTCATTTTGAACCATTTTACTAATTTGTTGATTTCCCACAATAGATAAAAGAATCTAAGCAATGAGTTTATTATAATGTGTTTGGAGCACTTTGCTGTGAAAATGTGAAAAATCCACTCATTTTCTCCAAAAGGTTCTTGGCTTTGAAGGCACAGCGGCAGATAAAGGCATTTTTTTGGTAACAAATATCTATGGCATGGCTGTTTATTCATACTTACTAATACTTTGCCATTACATTTTGCAGCTGAACTATCATTTTGTGTTCATTCTTCACTACATACTGTATCTGATGAAGCTTTCAAACGTTTAAAAGAGGTTTTTTTTTTTGGGTTCCCGAAAATGTGTAGGAATTCAGTCTGGAGACACTCGAAAAGACAAGACATGGGTATTATTTGAATTGTATATAGACTGGCAAGAAATCTGATGCTACAAAAATCACACATACGACTCTGAGGACAATATTTTCAAGATTACATTTATTGTTGCTGTGCAGAAATGTGGTTAGAATTTGGTGCGTAGACCCTGGCAGAGCACTGTACCATTGCAGAAGGGCAAAGAGATTGAAAGAAGGAATCCCCCGGGGCCTAGACCCTGGTGGTGGGAGCTCGGAGAAAGACAAAAGAGCCGGCCCAGAGCGCGGCGGAGATGGGGAGGCACGTGGCTGAGTGGACAGCACTCTCGCCTCTCAACAAGAAGGTCTCCTGGGGCCTTTCTGAGCGGAGTTTGCATGTTCTTCCTGTGTCACAATAGGTAAAAACCTCCAGCTCCGCTAGTCCTGACCAAACCGAGCATCAACATCTGGAGATTGTTCTCGGGCGCTGTTACCATGGCGACCTCTGCTCCTAACATGAGCCTTAGCGGCATCAGGATGGGTCAAATGCAGAGGACAAGTTTCCCTACGGGGAAAATGAAGTGCGCATTTACATTTTTTTACAGGAGGGTTGTGGCGTGAATGAAGCTGCTGCTTGGTTGGAGCGTCCTCGTGATATGAAGCGAGGACATGTGAGTGTGATCTACTGATTGCTTTTGTCGTGGCGCAGCAGGGGGAGGACTTGGAACGCTGCGAGCTTAGTCTTCCAGTTTTGGCTTCAGCTTCATTTTTCCATTTTTTTTGTTCTATTTTTCTTCTGGAACTATAGGATGAGTCTGTCGTAGTAGTCAAGTAATTTGGTAACAGCAAATGAAAATTGGTATCAGAAGAACACATTCAACATATTCAACAGATTTGAGGCTTTTTTTCATAAAACATTAACACTGCAAAGTCAATGATAGTAGAATTGTTTAGGTTATCAATTAAATGAATGTGAATATAATCAATCGAGACAACATTTGGTTTGACCCACATCGGGGGGTGGAAATCTACAATTGAGGTGTTGAAACCAAGCTAATAATTATCCATATTGTCCACATTTAGGGTGTTTTGTGAAAATTATGTTGCAAGACAATGTCCAACAAGTGGTTAATGTGTAACTTCACCTATTTTGGGGCTTTTCCATGTGTGAGTGTGTGGGTTATCTGTTCTGAAAGTCAAGCAGGACTTGGCTTTTGGCTGTGTAAGGACGCACAGGCCTCCTTGGCAGCTGCAGAGACATCTCCTTGTTACATGCAGGTAAAAAACGAATCCCTTTTCTGTTGTGTGTGTTTGTCCAGATAACTGCAGTAGAACCCCTTTTTCACACTCAAATATACTTGTTATGATGCACATGTCAGTTATGTCCCTAAACAGCTCACTATGGCGGAGTGGGACCATTACAGAGGCCAGTGATGATAGCGCTAAACGAGATATGTTGGTCTCACACTGAGTAATTACGCTTCACAGAGAGAACACAATCTCTCACACACTGCTCTGAGCCACCGGGACACACACAGAGTCATTACCTGTTGATTCATTTAGGACTACAACAATGAACGGCTAATTGGAATGTGGTAATACTATGGCTGCTATCTATAACAATGCCAGAACAAAAGTGTGCACTAATTTAATTGGAAACACTTCAAAATGAGTCAGAGTAAAGCCATAGAAGAGAGCTAATGGATTACTCACAATCACCGCAGAACAGCCGGTACAGCCACGGGTCTGACTCGCTCGGCTTCGGTTGAGATGGATTTTTTAAATTTTCAAATAGGAAATTAATTTTAGCAAAGCTGTGTGATAATAAATACATCTGTTATAAAGAGATTTACAGTTTATAATAGCAATAACTTTAAACATATATAGTTGCATATAGTGGTGGGCGACAGTAGCTCAGTTGGTAGAGCATTGGCCTTAAGGCCAGAAGGTCGTGGGTTCAATTCCCACCTCTGCACCTTCTCCACCGACTCCCACTGATGACTGCTGTTGTTGTGTCCTTGGGCAAGACACTTAACCCCACTTTGCCCAAAGCCCCCACTGAAAGATCAAGGCTATGCTCACACTCAGAGAGCAGCCGTCCTCCTGTGGACTCACCACCTGCAGAGGGTCAGTGAGGGGCTGGTGCTATGAGACTTGGGTGGCATCTCTGACTGCCACCCCCCTGACCCAGAAATGGATTAAAGGGTAGAAAATGGATGGATGGATGGAGTTGCATATAGTTGCCCTCCATGACCTCGCTCCTCCAGATCTCACTGAACTTCTACAGCCCTGCAGTCCCTCCCGTCGACTCCGATCTGCAGACTCACCTCTCCTCACTCCCACCGTCAAATCTAAGCACCGAACCTTGGGGGACCGAGCTTTCGCCATCTCTGCCCCCCCCCCCCCCACCATCTCTGGAACTCTCTCCCTCCTCATCTCTGGAACTCTCCCTCCCCCCCCCCCCCATGATCAAATTGCAGAACATGGCAAGACTCATTATTATTATTCATTATATAGACAACAAAGGTTTAGTAATATCTTGCTGTCCATAAGGCAAGGCAAGGCAAGGCAAGTTTATTTGTATAGCACAATTCATACACAAGGCAACTCAAAGTGCTAAGCAAGATGCATTAAAATCATAAATAATTACAGAACATTAAAAATAAAGATACAAATATAAAATCCCTCAGTTGTATGCACAGCTAAACAGCACCGTTTTTAACCTGGTTTTAAACATTGTCAGAGAGGAGGCCTGTCTCACATCTTCAGGAAGATTGTTCCAGATTTTAGCAGCATGAATCTGAAAAGCAGCCTCCCCATGTTTAGTTCTGACTCTGGGCACTAACAGGAGTCCAGTCCCTGTGCTCCTCAGAGTCCGGGCTGGTTCATATGGGACTAACATGTCACTAATATATTTTGGTGCGAGGCCATGGAGAGACTTGTAACAAGCAGAGCTGTTTTAAAGTCTATTCTCTGAGCCACAGGAAGCCAGTGCAGGGACCTGAGGACTGGACTAATGTGGTCGTACTTCCTGGTTCTAGTCAGGACTCGAGCTGCTGCATTTTGAATGTACTGCAGCTGTTTTACAGCCTGTTTGGACAGACCTGTGAGCAGGCCATTGCAGTAGTCTAACCTACTGGAGACAAATGCATGGATAAGAATCTCCAGGTCTGCTTTAGACACTATGTTTTTGATCCTGGCAATGTTTTTTAGATGGTAAAAAGCTGCTGATGTTACTGATTTGATGTGGCTATTAAAATTTAAGTCTGAGTCCAGTATTACCCCTAGATTTCTGACCTTGTTTGAAGGTTTTAGGGAGAGAGACTGTAGATGACAGATGACTCTCTCTCTTTGTTTCTGGGGACCAAAGACAATCATTTCAGTTTTGTCTGCGTTTAGCTGAAGGAAGTTGTTTTGCATCCACTCACTGATCTGTTGGATACAGTGAAGGAGTGAGTCCACTGGTCCATGTTCTCCTGCAGTCAGTGAGACATAGATCTGAGTGTCGTCTGCATAGTTATGATAGGAAACTTTGTTTCTGCGTATTAACTGACCTAACGGCAGCATGTAGAGATTGAACAGAAGAGGTCCCAGGATCGACCCCTGTGGTACTCCACAGGTCAGGGCCATATGATCTGAGACACAGTTTCCAATCTCCACAAAGTACTTCCTGTCTTCAAGGTAAGACCTAAACCAACTTAGGGCGGAGCCAGCGACGCCAACCCAGTCCTCTAGTCTCTGTAAGAGGATCTCATGGTCGACAGTGTCAAAGGCAGCACTTAGATCTAACAGGATTAGGATTGAGACTTTGCCTGCGTCAGTGTTCAGCCGGATATCATTTGTAACCTTGACGAGAGCAGTTTCAGTGCTGTGGTGGGGTCTAAAGCCGGACTGAAACATATCAAATGAGTTGTTGATTATAAGAAATCTAGTAAGCTGTAGGTAGACAACTTTTTCAAGGACTTTCCCCATAAATGGCAGATTTGAGATGGAACGATAGTTGTTAAGTACCGTAGCATCCAGACTGCTCTTTTTTAGCAGGGGCCTGATGACTGCAGTTTTCAGGGCGTTTGGGAATATTCCAGAATCAAGGGACATGTTTACTATCTGTGTGAGTGAAGGTAACAGACTGCTCAGAACAGACTTTAGAAATATAGTGGGTAGTACATCCAGGCTGCATGTGGAGGAGCTCAAACTGGAGATTATCTCTTGGACAGTTTGATCATTTACAGGTGCAAAGTAAGTTAGCTCAAAGAGCCTTTCTGGCTGTTGGATCGTTATCTGTGGATTGGGGACAATGGCGTTTTTGATGCCTTGAACCTTGTCATTGAAAAAATGTGCAAACTCATTACATTTACGTTTGGAAGTTAGCTCTAATGGCATCTGAACAGGGGGGTTTGTTAATCTATTAACTGTTGAAAACAGAACACGCAGATTGTTGCTGCAGCCTTC